TGTACAGGGAAAGAGCCACTGACTGAACTCTCTACTGGGGGAAGGGAGTGGGAGAAGGACCTTAACACAGTAATCTCCTCATTCGCTGAACTCCTTCCTCATCTATACTGTCTATGTTCATAGATGAAGAAGACAGAAAACAGCCCCATGTGGGGTGAAAAAAGGTGAGGTGAAGAAACCTTTGACTTCTCCTTATGGGTAAGGGCAAGAAAGACAGAAGTTGTTCATAGGTCATATTTAATGTGGTAAACTAACATTTGGTATTAATCTTTTTGAAGCCATCATATCCAAATCTCTTCTCTCCACTCTGTGCTAATCTCTACATACAATTTTTAGCAGCCAAAATTCCCTGGCAACATACCAGTGGCCTGACCTGAGAGGGCTGCTTATTTTCCACCATGCAAAAGATCTTTTTGCGCACCTTTCCTGTGGTATTCATGCTTTGTTTTCCCTAATACAGTGATTCTTAAACTAGAACTCGTGAACCCAACCGAGGTTATGACATGAATATGCATAGTTAGGAGCCTGGTGGAAATAAAAAAGCAGATGCATGTCTCATAATGTGACTGGGCAGGTGGAAGGAAGGAGGAGTTAGGAACTGCGAGTGCAGCTGGGGTTGAGATCCCTGCTAGAAAGCCTTGAGCACTTACTGTAATAGCTTTCAGACCTTTCCCCGTGGCACACACCACTGCAGTGACCGCTTTTCTCCATTTTCCTTTCTTTGTCTCCCACATAAAAGGAAGATTTCACAGTCATCTCTATGCTCTCTATTAACTTTGAATTTTTCTCCTCAAAAACCCTTTTTGGGTCCCTCTTGTCTGGTTTCCACCATTTCTATTTACTGGAACTGTTTGCACCAAAGCCATAAACAACCTTTTCTATGGTCATTTTCTACCTTCATCCTTTTGCTTTATTAGCAATGATCTTTCCCTCCTCCTTGAAGCTCTAACCTTCATTAATTTCTGAATCTGAGTGCTTTCTCAATCTTTTGTCTTTAGCTGCTAATTCAGTAACTCATCCACTCTTTTCTCCTGTCCCAGAACACTCAACTTTACTTAGAAATGCCCAAGATGCACACGGTGCTTGGAAGCAGTGCATGGCACCGAGGTCCCGTTTGACCCGGTGTCAGCTAGGAGGTCCGCTGGGAGACCCCTAGGGTTGGGGACCTTGTCAAGGAGATGCAGCAGGAAGGACCAGCTGAATCTGGGGCCACTGAACTGCCTTGTTAAATAAGAAAACCGTAATACTGAAGGTATACTGAAATACAGAAATTCTTTGGCTTTTGGGAGCTGGTAATTTTGCCAGAGGCTTGAGCTGCTCTTGCCACAGAAACGCTTTAGGATTTCCCACCAGACCCCTAATTTCATGCAGGGCCGTTTACTCTGCAAGTAGCCTTGCTGTCTATCCCAGTGTGGTACCGCACACAAACCTCCTAACTTCTGACACATTTGCAGCGCCAGTCACATCACCACCGCCGTTGCCACAAACATTGCTTTTTCCCCCATTTCCTCATCCTCAGGGCTTATAACTGGCCCTGGTGACAGTAAACCTTTGCTCTACAAAACAGGGAGTAACTTACGACTGTTGATTGATTTTTTTGGGGTAGCTGATTTTTTTTAGTCAGAGAAAATCTGGTGACCATTTGAATAACTGAACAAATAAATAATAAAAATCACAATAATTAATACATATGAAAGATGAGAGCTGAAAGAATTCTTTTATCCTGGAAAAATATTGTAGTAGATTGTAATTTCCTTCATGGGTTTTAATACCATTTAGATGTGTGGCAACAAGGAAAAGATCCACTGAAAGCTCTTAGCAGATGTGTTTGGAGAAAACCCAGTTTCTGGGAGTTTGTGTTACAGTCAGCATTCCCATCAATAGAAAATGTAATACTGTTTGCAAAGCTGATACTTAGTTCACTGGCTAATGACATTCAAAACCACAGAGTGCAACATTTCATTTCTTAATCTTAAATTTGTTTGTTTTTTTGAGTCATATGAGTCTGAATTTAGAAAACCCAGCTGCATCTGAAATTCACAGTGCGGAGTTCCACTGAAAACAGTTTGGGTTTTCTGTTGTTGCTTTATGAATAAATGAAAATATTATAGCAGAAGATGTCCTTTATCCTTCCTACAAACAAACCAGTTGTGACTGTTGTACTTAGCAGAGCGAGGATTTTGTGTTCTGTCATTTGAGTCTGTCAGTATTCCCATTTGTTGGTGAAATTGTATATTTTTCTGCCAAAACGCCAAGCTTTGCTAAGCCTATAGACTCACTTTAACTTCAGTAGGTCATCTGGTTAAAACTAAGAACAGAATTTTTGTGATTGCATTAAACACAAGTTTTATGCTTTTTAAAAAGAATTATTTTATATGGCCTTTATCATATTGGGCCAATTTCTCTGTTGATGTAATTTAACTGAATTCTTAAGCATGATATTCCAGCAGAGAATTTGATCATAACATTTACATTGTTATAGCTATAACGTAATGTATTTTACATGTAGAGCTGCATCTATAGCTCATACATGTAATATATATATAAAATTATGCACATAAGTATGCGTGCATATATAAATATGTATTAATAGTAATAGCGATGCACAAACACACACACACTTTGTTTTCAGTCTGTGATACCCACCATTTGCTACTAGTTAACACCCGAAACTGGGAATGGGAAATGTGTTGACATTTTATGTGCCACCGTGGAATAATTATGAAATATTTATTAAACAGGAATTATTCTACAAAAACATATTTACAGAATAGAGCAGAAAGCCACAGAGGTGCCTGTGACATCCAGGCTCTGCATTGACATACAAAATAGTAGAAATGTTGTTAATGGCATTTAGGGCTCTTTATCCGATAGGGTGCAAATGAGGTAAATTCATTGGCATGATGATTGGTTTGCAGCTTTCGAGGTAAATGACCCAATAAGAGCACAGTGGACGCGTTTTAGCTGCATACGGAAATTCTATTGGCAACAGTGTTGCAAAAAGGGTTTATATTTTTGTCACACTTTAAAGAGCAACTAACGACCCGTGGAGAATTTGGGAAAATGTTCTATTTACATTCCATTCTATTTCTATGCTCTGCATTTGCATACAAAGAAGGTCTTTGTTTCTGCAGGGTTTATCAGTGCCTGCTGGTTATTTCTGACCTGTAGCCACAGTCCTCTGTGACATCCAGCTCATTCCCACATGGCAAACATTTTTATTAAGTATCTATTGGGTGCTACATTACCTGGCAATTTTGTCTGTACAGGACATGGTGATGAGCTGCTCTCCCAACAACACGCCATCCCACGTCTGAACTGCATTGTGACACCGAACTGGTATGGTTCCTTCTCCAGACTCAATCTTTGTTCGAAGATGCCCACGGTATTTTCTTACGATGTGCTTGCTGCTGTTCACTGGACAAAAGAAACAGAAGAGTGGGATGAAAAGGCAATAATTAAATGTTTTTAGATGCCTTTTTGAAGAAACCAAAATGCTATGTTGATGCTATAACTTGCATTTGCAGAGCCACTTGTGGAGGTCCACTAAGTTGAGCGAAAAATTGGATGATACTGCAGCAAACAAAGTAGCAAAATGGAGAAAAATTCATGCTCTCTAGCGCGATCTGCTTTTCACATAAATCAAAACTTATGCATAGCACATGTTGAACTCATATTCCCATTCCCTTCCATATTTGAAAAGCACAGAGTTTTTGTTTTTATTTTTTTAAGTCTTGTTTCTATCCCTGTGCTTGTAGACTGAGCTGAGTCAGAGGAATCTTTAGAAAATCTTGATTCAATGAGCAAGATCGAAGGGTAGAGACTCACATGTCTGACCGAATCCAGACCAATACTCTGGTCTGATATTCTGAATAATTACAAAACTGAAGTCATGACTTGTTATCATCTCAAGAAATTTCACGGAAAATTCTCAGAAGTTGAAGTACTTAGGGTCTGAAGCAAATTAAAACTTGGTAGTTTTTCACTGTTTGCTTAAATTCCCTCCATAGTCTTCCTAAAGAGAGATACGCTACTGCTTTGTGTCATATTGGTATGCATGTTATGCGTTTGCCATCTGTCACTTATATATGTGATCTTATATACTTCAGTGAAATGCAGCTGTCTTTGGGTGGAGCACAGCAAACAGCTACCACACTTGTCCTGTGCATCAGGACAAGTCTGAGTCTGGAGATATGTAGTAACTGCAAAAGATAGTGACATTTGCGAAGCACTTTGCCTCTATTTTGGATGAAAAGATAAAAACTGAAATTCATTACTGAAATCACTGTTACTATAGATATACTATATTGCTACCTGAGTACAGGTAACTTTAGCACAAAATAAAAGAATGGAAGGTGGTACAAGATGGTCTTTGCTTTCAAGGAAAAGGAACGCTGCTTCTATGCACATGACGCATTTGCCCATATTTCCAACATTCCAGCATATTTTTTCCATGACCTGCCTCTCAGCTGGATCAGAAGATTTCTGCTTTTGAAGTTGACACCCCTCAACCCTCAGCAGGCTATGAGGCTGTCTGGACCTTGTTCCTCACATGGAGTAGCACCAAAATGTCACAAGTCAAGGAGCTAATCGAGCCACCGGCAGAGAGCAGCTGGCTCTGCATGCCTTCCCCAGCCGCCTGCTGTCTCCCTCCTGTCATTTTTCACTGTCTTTGCTTTGTACAACCGTTTTCTGTGCTGGTAGCTCTGGTTGAAGCAATTGATCGACTTTAGCTGTTGCCAATGGATTGCTTACAAGAAAGGAATGGAAAAATAAATTGCTTCAGACCGCTGGGATTAGCAAATGCAGCAAACACATGTAGAACAGCAATGTCAGCGGTGACCTGCCAGCAGACACATGGACTGAGCCTCCACTGATCACTTCCTCTTCTTTTCTTTCTTGCTATTTAAAAACTTTGTGATGAATCCAAGATGGGCGTGGGTGTGTCAGCAGTGGGATGGACCAGACATTAAATGGATTGGCTGGACACGAATAAAATGGATTCCCACCTAAAAAGAGGCTCTGCCACACTAGAAATGTTTAAAAATGCTTTAGGGTTTGCTGTGCTACTTCACGAGGGATGTTTGAGGGAGAGCAGTCTGCCTTTCAGTCCTGAGGGAAACTGGGAAGACCAAATAAGCAAATAAAAATTAAATAAGGACCGCCCTCCCCCCAAACTCTCAGAAATGTCTCAGATCCCTCTCTCCTGAAATCATTGGCCTATGCCAACAACAGAGTGAAACCACTCTTCATGGCCCTGCGTGCTGATCCTGCATCCCTTCCTCTTGTTTTGGGATCCCTCCTGTAGTGTCGTTCAGAAGATACTCTTTGGATGTAATTAGTTATCTGGGAACTGGTCCATATCTCTCTTGGGACTCTGGGGGAAACCGTGTTTCTTTAAACACATCCAACAGGGGTGAGCAGCTTTTTTTTGATGTTGAACAATGGTGTGGTGGGGAAGGTGCTATGAAATTTGGGCAAGGAGAGAAGAAAATGATCACTTCTGCCGAGCAAACACATCTGGCTGTGCAAAAGGGAGAAATGTATAGGGAAAAGATTTTGCATTAGCCTGTACAGGCAAAGAACCGGTGGCATGGCAGAGTTAGACCTCTGTGAGTGAAGCACTAAAGGGTGACTCGAGACTATTTCTGCTTTGGCTGGCAGCAAGTTTTACTTTAAGCAAATCAGTTCTCTTTACCTAAGTTTTCCCACAGGTAAAATGAAGATAATGATGCTTCCTTCTTCTGCAAATTCTTTTAAAGCAACTGCTCAAAAACCATTTATGAAAGCTAGATGCTATCGTTTTAATATAAATCTACTGCAGGAGTCCACCTGCAGAAATCCCCCAGGACAAAATGAATTGTTAATGTTCCTTTCCCCACCCCTTTTTAGAGGAATATTCTGCCTTGCTTGGCCTTTCTCTCCCCATTTCCCATCTTTTCTCTACATTCCTCTCTCTTTGTCAGCTCCTGCTCTGGTCCTTCCCTATACATGCGTTGGCTCCTTCATCACTCTTTTTCAGGCAGTTCACCGTGTTGTTACTCCTACATTTTGAAGGCTGCACACTCGCAACATTGGATGAAATGGGACATATAACTGCTAGAGAATTTTAGTGACTGCATGACAAGATGAATAGCCCGTCGTTTACGTGACTTTGAAACATTACCTCGTGTGGGGCAAAGCATCACACAGTGTGCTTACAGAGATAGGGAGAGATCCAGTTCAGGGGAGAAGGAAGAACCAGCCCTGCTAACAACTCTTTGGCATTTGGGGAAATTAAAGCTGAGGCCAACAACTAAAGGGGAGAGGGATCTGAAATTTCTCTGAGAGTTTAGAGTTTTTGCTTATTTAATTTTTTATTTGTATATTTGGTCTTCCCAGTTTTCCTCAGAGCTGATGTTTGACAGGCCAAAATACTCTGCTTGTTATTTTAGCATCTCAGCCTTGGTCTGGAAGTCCCGAAAACTGAATAATGAAGTTTTTCAAAGCATTTAGGAAGTGTGTGAGAGCACACATCATCTCAGTTTACAAATGCTCAAATTAACTCACTCCATGTGTCAGACTTTGCTCCCCCTGATGCAAGCTCTATCCAGGATGCAGCCAAGCAGGCAGAATTAGCTGATAGGTTTCAGGCAGCTGTGGGCAGTCTACACTCACCCTGGGAAACACTTCCACAGCACTGATAAGGGGTTTTAGCTGCTCAACTACTATTAAATTCAATGGCTAGGATGTGACTCAAACCCTGTGCAGTACTGCATGTCTTAAGCTACTCATATTACTGGGATAGCCAGAACACACGCTCCAAAAGCAGGAGCTGTAGCATGTATATAAAATCGTAATAACCCAAATCTCTGAATACTTTCAGATTGCCAGTGATTAAATTCAGATCTGCATTTGGAATGTACTTAGGTCTTTTTAAATGTATTTTTAAGTACAGTATGAAGATATAAATATTGAACAAAGAAATAGATGAGGCTCTGTGTATTTTGCACTGAAACTGTAGACAGAGTCTAGCACATAAGCTGCTTGCCAGCGGTAAAAAATGCAGTCCATTTCCTGGCACAGTCTGCGACAGATCACTTTAAAACAGTCTCAGAGATGTATTTATTTATGCAACTTGAAGCCACAAACTACAGCCTACTGCTGTTCTCCTGTTTGGTATGATCAAAGCATCAGTGACTATGAGCGTTTCTGATCTTTGCTGTGCTGGTTCCCCAACTGCTTAATCTCAGCTAATTGCAGGGGAGAAGGCGTCTGAGGATGCCACTTCAACCAGAACAAAATGTCAATTCAAACAGGAAATGGAAAGGACAAATTTAAAAATCATTTGGAGTGGATTTATCATGTGTGCTACACTCAGAGGGGGAAATTACTCCTGAGAGTTTATAAGATGAAAAGGTGCATGATTATTAATTATTGGATTATAAATTTGTGCAGGTGCCTTGTGTATTTTAAATAGTGTCTTGAAATCCATTGATTTTGAGACTTACCCTTTATTTTCTTAGGAGCAGTTCTGGCTCAAATGGTAATGGAAAAAGCCACTCCGTATTTATTATTTAGTTGAAGAGGAAATGGACGGTGATTAAAGAGAATCACTTGAGTACAGTTCTGTCTGAGATTCAGCATGACAGCCCCGGAGGTTCATTTTCTATTTCCCTGCTTCAGTGGAGGCTGCTCTCTGCTCATGAAGGAAGCAATAAAATGGCCTATCTTGCAATTTTTCAGTGCTGGACCCTCGATTCGTCAACACGGTTTACGAAGCTTCCTTAGAACTCTTTGCAATAAAGGGGAGGAAAGAGAAGTGGTAACATCTCACTGCCTTTGTATTTTGATAGCCGTTAGAGAGGCAGATGCCGAGCGTACTGAACAAGCCAGCTTCTCCAAAAGCACTGCTGCGCATCCATCCTGGGAGGGCCTCTTGGCTCAGGCCTCGGAGGTCACACGGACACCTGCCTTAGCCTGCTCAAACGTATGGTGAGATGAATCCCAAAATTCTGGAGATGCTTTAAAACGTAGGCTGGAAGGTCTGCTGGGCAGCGTGGGGCTGCAGGGGAGCTCGCTCCCTGGTTTGCGCCCAGAGCGGGGCAGGGCTCCCTGCGTCGTGTTAAAGTGCAGATCTGGGGTTTGGGCCATATCATTCAGCATATATGCAAATGTAAATGCTGAGTAACTACTTCAACGGACTGTGTTATATGAAAGCCTTGGACACTGGTGATTTGTGGAACTCAAATTTACAGTCGAAATTGAAATTCTTTATCCTTTCTCTCCTTTAATGCATATTTCCTGGCTAAAATCCTGATTTTGGGCAGCAGTCAGGTATCCCATGACTTTATAACAGAAGCTACCTTCAGCATTTTGTTCTTTCTCCTCTCCATTAATTTTAAAATAACATTTTTGAATCTTTCTATTTCTCCATA